GGCTCCCGCCACCTGCAGAGGAAGCCTGAGCTCTTCAGACGCTACTCTGGGCCTGGTTGGTGTTGACTTCCACAGGCTGGTGCCCCTGCTGCCTTCATCCCAGCCTGCGGTGCCAGCCCCACCCACGCCCATGTCACCACTGAGGCAAGACAAGGTCTGATTGAGAGCCATCCTAGGAGAGGCTTGTGTAATTCAGTAAGTCCATCTGTCCCACTCGGATTATGATTTGAAAACCTGGCTGCACAAGTTCACTGGTTCTTCAGAGTGAATTTACACCCTGTAATTCAGGTCTTTTTAAGAAACCAAGCTTATCATTTATGTCTCTTTATTGTACAGAAAGAATGGACGTTTGGAAACTACTGCGAATTAGGAAGGAGACCATCCACGTGTAGTCCCACCACCCAGAGACAGCCCCTGTGTGCTCTCAGTGTGTTTCTTTCCCAACCCACTTTGTTCAGAGTTGTTCTGTTTTTCCACAACTGAAATCACACTGCAGTAGTGAATTTCCATTCTGTTCCCCTTTGTTGTCATTTCCTGAGTTTTGTGTGTGTAGTTAGAGGCCGTATCGGTGGATATAATGCAGATCTTCCCTTCTATTTGATATCTAAGGGACCCCCTAGTTGGGTATATGGAAATGCGCTGTCATCCGGTGCCCACGCTGCGTAAGGAGGTTCGTTGATTGGGTCAGTGGGTGCAGGCCCACGGCCTGGGGTCAGCTCCTAGTAAGTCACCGCAGCTCTCTGAGCCCCAGTTTCCTCATCTCAGACAGGGACGAGATCCTGCCTCCAGATGGTAGTGGGAATTCTCATCTGAGCAGCCCACACTGCTTCCAAGCCCTCTCGCTGGTCAGTGCTCAGTGTGCTACCATTTCCCTAGAAATGCCTCTATCCGCATGCCCTCTGGCCCTTTCCTCTCCAAGTCACCTTTGACTTTCCAGCTAACAGATGGCTTTGCTCCAGAATTTTTCAGCTAGAAATTAACAAAATCCAGTCAGCTTAAACTCACTGAGGATGGGCTGGCTCACGGAGCTTCTGATGAAGATGAAGTGAGCCTGGTGGGCAAGACTGGCTTCTGGGGTCTCTCTCTCTCTCTCTGTCTCCCCCTCTCCCTCCCTGTCCTTTCCTCTCCCTCCAACTCTTTCTCTGATGGCAGCTCACTGTCTCCTGCTACAGAGGCTGAGAAGATGGGGGGTGCCCAGGTGTCCACCCTCTGTGCCCTGCACCTGCGGGCAAAGGAGGCCACCTGCCTCTGAGCACCTGGAGAGAAACCCTGGGGAAGGTCTTTGTTGGCTGACTCATACCTTGATGTCCCCTTGAACAGTCACTGCGGCCTGGGTGCCCAGCAGCGGGTCTCATACCCACCCCTGAGTTAGAAGGAGGGTGGGAGGATGCGCTAACATGCCCTCCAGCCTCCTGAATGCTGCAGGGTGTGCGCGGAGGTGGCCTTTTGCTCCAAGGGCCCGTCCCTCTGCAGGGTCCAGAAGGACACTCGGGGTGGCACTCAGCTGAATTAGTCTACACTGCCCCCAACCCACTTTCAGTCAGCAGGTAAACCTAGGGAGCAGGTCCTGAAGGTATTTATCCACTTCTAGTGCCGCTCGCCAGAAGCGCCTTGACTCTGACTCCTTGGGCTGAGGTTGCCTCAGGTGTCTGCTCTTTAGCCCCATCCTCAGCAGTGGGGGCTCCCTTGGGTGCTGACCTTGGCCGTGGCTGGCCCAAGGCAACCTAGCTCCTAGTGCTTGACCCGTGGGGCAGGGGCTGTGCGTCCCGATCCTTCTTTCTGAGCTTAGCAGGCCGGGTTAGGTTCTGCTGCAGGAAGAGGAAGGGGGGCCGTTTGTTGTCATTATCAGCCCTGCAGACCGAGCGCCATCGTGCCGCTGAGGCTGCCTTTCCAAAACTGCCATCTGATCATGTTACTTCCTTTGCTTTAAAAATCTTTCCAAGGTTGCAGACGCCAGTGGATTTGCTTTGGGAGCCGGAGTAGCTGCCACCACCAGAGTCTGGAGCCATGAGCGGGTTTAATTTTGGAGGCACTGGGGCCCCCACAGCGGGGTTCACATTTGGCACCACAAAGACGGTGACAACCACACCAGCTACCAGGTTTTCTTTCTCTACGTCTGGCACTGGCGGGTTTAATTTTGGGACTCCCTCCCAGCCAGCCGCGAGTACCCCTTCCACCAGCCTGTTCTCATTCACTACCCAGGCTCAGACCCCAGGATTCAGTTTTGGGACTACCACTCCTGCTGCGGGAGCAACTGGGTTTTCTTTAGGGATCAACACTCCGAAGCTAAATTTGAGCAGCACGGCTGCCACGCAAGCCACGGTGCAGCCCACCGGCTTTGCGCTCAGCGGCGGCACCCTCACCAATGCCATCTCGAGCACCGTCACGTCCACCCAGGGCACAGCGCCCACTGGCTTTGTGTTTGGGTCCACCACCACCACCACTGCTCCGTCCACCACCCCCGGGGGCTTCTCATTCACAAGTGGAAGCACATCCCAGACCGGGACTACTGGCTTCAGCATCGGATCCACGGGAAGTTCGGCCCAGCCCACGGCCCTGGCCGGCTTGCCCTTCACTCCGGCTGCCACTGGAGCTGGGGCCACACAGCCAGCTGCTCCCACACCTACCACTGCCACCACCAGTGCCGGGCCCACGCTCTTTGCCTCACTGGCCACTGCTCCAACTTCATCCACTGCCACTGGGCTCTCCCTCGGTGCCCCAGCGACCACGGCAGGAACTTCCGGAACAGGAACACTGGGCTTCAGCTTGAAGGCCCCCGGAGCAGTGTCCACCACCTCCACAGCAACAACCACCACCACTGCCACCACTGCCACCGGCTTCGCCTTGAGTCTCAAACCACTGGCACCAGCAGGGATCCCCAGCAACACACCAGCCACCGGGGCCGCCGCATCCGGTCCTGGTGCAGCTGCTGGGGTGACAGCCAGTCCCGCCATGACCTACGCCCAGCTGGAGAGTCTGATCAACAAGTGGAGCCTGGAGCTGGAGGACCAGGAGCGGCACTTCCTGCAGCAGGCCACGCAGGTCAACGCCTGGGACCGCACACTGATCGAGAACGGGGAGAAGATCACCACCCTCCATCGTGAGGTGGAGAAGGTGAAACTGGACCAGAAGAGGCTGGACCAAGAGCTCGACTTCATCCTGTCTCAGCAGAAGGAGCTGGAGGACCTGCTGAGCCCGCTGGAGGAGTTGGTCAAGGAGCAGAGTGGGACGGTGTACCTGCAGCACGCCGACGAGGAGCGCGAGAAGACCTACAAGCTGGCCGAGAACATCGACGCGCAGCTGAAGCGCATGGCCCAGGACCTCAAGGACATCATCGAGCACCTGAACACATCCGGGGGTCCCGCCGACACCAGCGACCCACTGCAGCAGATCTGCAAGATCCTCAATGCGCACATGGACTCGCTGCAGTGGATTGACCAGAACTCGGCACTGCTGCAGCGGAAGGTGGAGGAGGTGACCAGGGTGTGCGAGGGGCGGCGCAAAGAGCAGGAGCGCAGCTTTCGCATCACGTTCGACTGAGAGTCCCCCCCACCCCCATCCCCCGGCTCCGAGGGTGTTCAGCTGGGCACGTGCAGTCATTGTCTGGTTTTTGGTTGCAATGAAATCCTGCTTTGCTTGTTTCTTTCTTTCTTTCAAGCAGATGTGCTGTTAAGAGAACCATTCTGTGGTTTGACTTTTTGCCTTAGTGAATAGAAAGTATTCTAAGCCTCTGGTCTAGGCAGCAGCCTAGTAGGTATGGTTTCTGCGTGTGTCGTTAGTGTATCCTAGACCCTCCCCACCTGCTGCAGCCACCCTCCTCCCAGTGCTGGGGGAGAGCTGATCTGCCTGAGAACCGCCTGTCTCCCAGCCAGGGTACACTGGGCGGCCACTCTGCCCAGCACACAGTCACAGGTGCGAGAGAAAAGACTCAGCTTAAAGGACCTCCATCCTTGAGGGGACGGCAGCCTGGTATAAGTATAAGCGGTACAAAGAAGGGACTTACAAATGGAATGGATAGTGGGGTGTAGAATTTCAGAGGAGGAAAGACAGGTCAGACGAGGGACTTGAATGAGGTTTTGAGAAAAGAGGTCTTCACGTTGCCTAGCTGACACGTCCTTACCCCTGAGGTCTCCTTATTTTAGTCCTCACCTCCTCCAGGAAGCCTTCTTGACCACCTGGAATCGGGGTCACATGGCCATCCTATGGGCCCCACGCCACACTGAGCTTGCCAGCTGGCAAGTTTGCTAACACTCGCCATGTTGTATTCTGCTGACTGTTTACTTCTCTGCCTCCTTGTTAGATTGTGAGCCCCCCTGGGCAGGGACTGCTTCTTGTTCCCCTTGTGTCTTCAGCACAATCCCTGTCACATTTGTCAAATGGATCAACAGTGGAGATAAAAACCCAGCATAAAATAAGAGTCAACAGAATGCCAGTCGAAGTGACCAGGGTGCCAGAGGTGGCCACAGAATTGGTTCTGAACCTCCCAAAGCCAAAGCCAGCCTGGTCGGTTACACTGAGAGCCATGGTGTCCAGAAGGCAGAAGCCAACCAGCTACATCCCACTCGTCTTTTGTACTTGTCTCTTCCTTCTGCTGCACTCTCTGAAATCCCTATGACTGTACATTGCTTTTCTAAATAAAAATAAAATCTATTGGGGAGCAGAAAAGCTGTGGTTAGTGTGGATAACTTAGGAGAAGGTTAGAAAAAGAGCAGGTTCCAGATCAAGTGGGATTCCATTTGTCTGAAACCCAGAAGCAGGCAAAACCAAGTATGTTGCCTAGACATGCACACATACACAGGTTCATTCGGGGTTCCCCTTGGTGCTGATGGTGGGAGAGGAGCACGTGGGGGAACCCATTAAGCTGGGCTATGTCTTTGAATACATGTAAGTGTCCAGTCATCTGTCACCACCCTGAAGGAGTTAGCTCAGTGGCCACGGGTATCAATGGCAGCCTTCCTCTCCGTTCCCTGGGGCTGGCCAGGGGGTTCTGGTTGTGCTTCAACAGTGGGAAACAGGTAAAGCTGCTGGAGTGCAGATCTGTATCAGGTGATTCCCAGATCCCGGCCGGATGCTCTGCCTCTGCTCTCCATCCTCCCTCAGCCTGTGCCACGCTAAACCAGCTTTTGGCTAAAAAAGTGCCCATGGCTTGTTCTTGGACATTTATGGCCCTGTTTCTCAAAGTCACGATCATGAGTCATTTCAAAGACAAGTGTCCCATCCAAGCAGAAGCCACGGAGGAGGGAGGCCAACAAACTAGACAGACAGCTGGCAAGCCCAGTTGCTTCTCTCTGAAGGCTCCACCCCTGCCACAGTGGCCCTTTGTGCAGTCTGAGCCTTGAGTACATCCAGGACCCATATCTGACCCTCCACCTGAAGGGAGGAGAGATGGAGAGGCCTCAAGTCCCCCTAGAAAGTAGAAAGTGGTATTTTACCTACATGTTTTCATTCAACATCCACTTACGTAACACCTGCTATGGACCAGATCTGGCGTTGAGGGTTTCAAGAATGGAAGAATATTTCTCTACCCACAAGGTCACTGGCAGTGGCCGCACAGTCATGATTTAAAATTTTTTTTCTATAACTCAATTTAAAAAACGCTTATAAAAAATTAAAATTTTTTTTCTTGAGTTTGCATTTCCAAAGTATAGAATAGTTTGTTATTTTGCATATAAAACATTAGTGAAGCTTAATTGCTTTCTTATAGTTGTATTTTTAAAATAAGAACAAACTGAAGCTCTGGTTTTCCACCAGGGGATCTTAGGCACTCCACCTTGAACACAAGCAATTATAATAAATCAGCATGGTGGCCACGTGGGAGGGATGGTTACGATACTCTGGCACTGTGGGGGAAATGGCCCCACGGCTTCCTGGGGGAGTTGGGAGGGGTCCCCGAGGCAGCAGCAGGACCGGCAACTGGCTGGGTGTCACCCTGCAGATGCTGGCTTCGTTGTAATTGCAGTCTCCCTTTTCAGGAAGAAAACAGATGTGTTTCCTTGCCAGTCCAGACACATGGCCTCTACTTAAGTTCCTCTTCATTAATTAATATGAAGACAACAAAAGTGACTAAATTCGGAATCAGAGGCTTTTAAAGGTGAATTTCACTCCTGAGTAAGCTGTTAAGTGCATTTCTTCTCCCTGTTTGGGGATAAGAGTGGCAACTGGGCTTATGGTTACGGCTCTGTTCATCTCAAACCCTCAAACATCTGTCTCCCTTGTGGCCCAGCCCCTTCCACAGGCTGATGCCCCTGCCTTGTCAGACCAGAGGTTTCCAGAGGGAAAGCATCCCTTGGTCTTCAAGGGGAAGTTGAAACAAATGATTCCCAAGCAGTGGTGTGCTGGTAGATGTTTGACGGTCAGCCCTCCAGGGTCAGGGAAAGGCTGGGAGCAAATGCTGATTCCCACGGTGTAGATAATACATAGTACATATAATATATAGTAAATGTAATCAAACAAGTGATAAGTTTTGAGTATTAGCTCTGTTTTGAATAAAATTAATCATAAATACTTTAATTTTCTAATAATGGCTTGCCAGGCAAAACCAGAAAGAGATCCAAAAATTAAACAGCTCTCTTGTACTAGTATGAGCCAGCTCCTGCATACCACTGCTCCCAAGTTTTTCAGTCAACTTCTAAATTGTCTGGGTGTTTTAAAAGTCTGCCCTCAGACCAAGCGGCTCTCTGTGGTAACTGTCCCAAGCTACCCCTGTGCCTGTCCCCCACCCCTCACACACCTTGGCAGGGATCACTTCAAACACCAGTGACTCACCTGAGTACCACTCCCCAACCTCACCTCCAGACACCATCCTTGTTCAACCCCATGACCTCAAGAGATTTCCCCAAGGCAGAGACCAGACCTGGGGTGCTCCTCTGCTGCGTTCAGGCCTAGCCTAGGCCCTTGGGGTCACATCAGACCTCCCCACCCCGTTCTAAAGACATAAACCCCAAATCAGCTGAACTGAAAGTGACCCTTATTGATGATGAAATATCACTCAGATGCAATGTGAGCTCTTTGCTGATTCAAACGAACTGTTCAAAAAACGTTCAGGGACAATCTGGGAAGTGTAGGCACTGATTTCATTTTAAGTGTGATAATGGTATTGGAGTTTCTTTGGGGTTTTTTTTTTTTTTGGAGTTTTATTTTTGAAAAAGCAAGTAAGTTCCTATCTTTTAGAGCAGAGGTTGGCAAACTATGGCCCCACTTCCTGTTTCGGTACATAAAATTTTATTGGAAGCAGCCTCCACCTGTTCGTTAACATGTGACTGCTTAGAGGGCAGAGAGGAGTAGGTGGCGAGGCAGAGACCTTGTGGCCCAAAAAGCCTTATATGTTTATAGAAAAAGTTCGCCAACCCCTGTCGTACGGAAACACCCTGGAGGATTTACTTGCAAAATAGTAACATGTCTGGGGTTTGCTTTAAAATAACCCAATGAGGGAGGGAGAAAATGAGACTGAAACAAGATGGGCTATGGGGCGATAAATGCCCTTGGGTTCATCCTCCGCTGCTCTGTTTTCATGTATGTTTGAAACTTTCCATAATACAAAGCTTTTGAGAAGAGAGGGCCTGCCTTCCACAGCCCCCCAACTGCTCTGACCCCACACCAGGACCCTGGCATCTCTGGTCAAACAAGGAAATCGGGACAAAGCCACCACCACTCATCCCAGTTTCGCACACGCCCGATGATGACTTCTGTCCCGGGCTAACCAGAAAGGCCATGGGTGCTGAGAGAGCCTGCCAGAGCCAGCCATGCAGTGAGTGCCCCCCATCGCAGCCCTGGGGTTCTGGAAGCTGGGGAAGGAGGGCTCTGTGGAAAGGGGGTTCCTGTCGAGAGGTCAAGTCAGAGATCAGGGGCCTAAAGTAGGCCTCTCCTCTGCTCTCTGCACCCCTCCCCGTCCAGTCTGGACCTCTGACTTCCATCTGGGGCCCTTGGGGTCCCCTAGGTAGGCCCAGCCCCAATCTGAGGCCCAATGAAAGTTTTAATACTGACCACTCAGGGTCTGGGGACTGAATCAGAGAAAAGGATATATGTAAGGCACTAGCCCTGTCCCATGCACATCTCTGTGGCCCACAACACCACTAGCTGGCCTGATGGGCCACAGAGGCCATCAGGGGGTCTGGCTACTTTGGTCAAGACCTAACCCCATTAGAACTGTCATTGTGGTTCTAGAAGCAAACCAAATAAGGTAGGTTTTCTCCCTAAAGATAATATTTATCTGAAAGGAGTGACATTTTTTTTAGAAAGTCCATTATGAAACAAGACTATCCCCAAATCAGCTGAAGCAAACAGAGGCTTGATTTGATGGGAAGCCCTTTCCCGCCACTGCCCCATCCCTTGATTCTCACTGTGTGTCCTGTACCTCCTACTCACAAGCTTAGGGAACCGAGCCTCATTCAAACCCCTCTCTTTCCTGACCTGATCCACCCTAATTCATACCCTAAATTCAAACCCTAACACCAATCTTTTTGATATTATCAGAAATGACTCTAGAAGGTCCAGTTATTTCTACCAAAGCAATCCCCAAATTACTGATAATCTCCTGACCCCAAAACAACCTCTGCTATATGGCCTTCCAGCACTACCTTTCCTGCCAGCAGTACCCTGGACTCCTTCCTGGACAACATCTGGCCACTCTTGGGCATTCCACCCAGCATCAACCTAACCTAACGCAATGGGTCTCACCCAGGGCCACTTTGCCTCCCTTTCCCCTGGGAATGGCTGGCAATGTGCCAAGACACTTGCGGTTGGCAAGCCTTGAGGGGCAAATGCTCCTGGCATCTAGTGGGAGGCCAGTGATGCTGTTCCATATCCGACAAGCACAGGATGTTCCCCACAAAAATGGTCCCAACTGTCACTAGTCCCAAGACAGAGAGCCCCTGCCCTGGCCCCATCCCTGGCCCACAGCCCAAGCTCGCCACTCATCATAAAGTGGTAGAGAACACAGGTCTGGAGCCTGGCTGCTAGGATCAAAGACTCTGTCCTCCAGGTCACTGTGAATGAAGCAGGGAGGGGTATGCGCCAAGAAGGCCTTCCAGCTCCCCTGCCTGCCCCCCGGCCATCAGGCCACCCCAGAGAGGGAGCAGTCCCTCTCACTGCCGCTTTTCATTGACTCTCCTGGCTTCTCTCTGAGGCTCTGCCCAGCTCAGTGATTGTTGTTTCCTTCTTGGCCACTGCCTCCCCATCCACCCACATCAGATGTTTTCTGACTCACTAGTATGCGCTCCTTCCAGCTTCCTGCCTCCATCAAACCACAGCCCTCTTTGATATACTGTTCGGATTTTCCCATCTGGTTGCTGCAGAGGGCCTGCCACCCTCTGGCTTTCCTCTTCACCACCTGGGCCCCCTCCCCCCACCCCAAGGAAAATCCCCAAGATTGCCTCTCCACCCCTACCCCTTTCAGGGAACCACCCTGTGTCCCCTTGGCTAAAGTTCTGAAGCCACGAGGCCTCTGCTGCCCCCTGTTGGGGCTTCTTGAAGCCAGGGCATCTTGTTCTCACTGCCTGCCACCCACCCCCCAGGATAAAAGCGCCCACCAACAGTGGGTGGTGACAGCCAAAGGCAGGGAGAGAGGCGGAAGCTCCTGGGGCAGTTTCTCTGAGGCCTCCTGCTCCCTGACGCCTGAGCCTGAGCCAGTCGTCCCTGTGGTTCTCAGTGCAGGGATGGAAAGGGCTCCTAGTGGGGGCTAGGGTTGGGGGACACTCACAGAATCCCCTCTGAGCACCCTCGCGGTGGCAGCAGCTGGCGTGTCCTAAGGAGCAGGGTCTAGTACTGACCCAGGTGCTATTCATGGGGCCTGACCTCGATTCACTACCTAGTCCACAGCACTGTAACGGCCCGCACTCAACAGATGCTGACCAGAGCCACAGAGAGGGGAAGGCCCTTGCCCAAGTCCCCCACTGGCAAATGCCAGGCCTAGCACCCAGGCAGGCTGGTCCAGAGCTCATTCTGCTGACCACTCTGCTGCTACCTGCAAGGCCCTTGCTGTACCCATTTCACTGAGGCGGAGACTGAGGCTCCAAGCAGCCACGTGTGGGGGTAGTGGAGCCAGCGAGGGCCCTCCAGGGCACAGGGACAGCTGACACAGAGGACTCAGAGGCTCTCCCAGGGAACATGCAGCCCCAAGGCCAGAGACCACCCCCCTACCCCTGCCCTGAGAATTAAGGAGGGCAGACACGGGGGCCCTGCAATTGGGGGACCAAGGGCTTGGAGCAGGCCGTGGGGTAGCCTCCACCCTTAGCATGGTTACCTGAGCATTTATTTCTGGCCTTCCAACTGCGCCTGAACTATCTGGGGCAAGAGGAAGAAAACAGACTGATTTGCTTCCTCCCCACCCCTTCCCCACCAGCAGCCCCTCCACCCCACTCGCGTCCTGGAGGGGAGTCCCTCAAAACCTCCTAGACTCTGAGCATCTGACCCTGCGACCCAGGAAAGCAGTTTCATTTCCCTGGAGTCAGATTTCCCAAAAGGGAGGGGAGGGCGGGGCTCGGCTAGTTTTAAAGACAGAGAGAGGGGCCGTGGCAGACAAGCAGAGGGGACTGAGGAGAGAGGTGCTGCTGCTGCCGGCGGAGGGCCCAGGTAGCTGCAGAGAGGCTGGGCACCACCGAAATAGCCTGGGAGACACAGAGAGCCGGGGAGAGCAGAGACAGACAGACAGACAGACAGACTGGGAGGAGGTGAGAGGAGAGGGAACAGAGAAAGACGGGAAGCAGGGAGGAGAGAGGAGGCAGATAGGTGAGTACAGGACAGGAAACTGCTAGACTGGCATCAGAGGACACACGTCCAGAGAGACCCGGGCCACAGGGGTGAGGGCTGAGGTGGAAGCCAGGCAGCCCGCCTTGGGCCAGGCTAGGGTGGGACACAGGCTTCTGTCACAGTGGCCCTTGCTTCCCTCCCAACCCAGACACTGTCCCCCACCAAGAGTCATGGGCTCCTTGGGTAAGTAAGCAGGGGAGGGGCAGAACCTGCTTTTTTTCCCTCCACACCCACTAACCACTCACTGAACCTGTCCTCCTCCCTCCCAGCCTGGCGCCTCCTCGCCCTGGTCCCCATCTTCCTCAGCCTGGCGGCCTCCCTGGACTGGCACACTGCCCGGGGCTCTGACCCCTTCGAGAAATGCATGCACGATCCCGACTATGAGCAGCTGCTCAGAGTCGTGACCTTGGGCCTTAATCGGACCTCGAAGCCCCGGAGAGTGATCGTGGTTGGTGCTGGCGTGGCTGGGCTGGTGGCCGCCAAGGTGCTCAGTGATGCCGGACACAAGGTGAGGAATGCTGTTTGCAGTTGACCTTGAGTCTTTCCTGCTGCAGCCGGGAGTCTTGAGTGGAGGGACTTGGCCGCATCCCAGTTGAGGGGTGGAGGTGATGGGAGATGTAGAGAGCTATGCTTTCCTCGTGGTCTGGGGAGTGAGGCCTGAATTCCCCTGCTCTAACACAACTCAGAGGGAGTGTGTGTCCGCACTGAGAGGCCTTTGACTTTCCCTCCCACTCACATCCTGGAGGGGAGTCCCTCAGAACCTCCTCCAACCTCCTGGGGGGAATTTGTGTTGGTGGGGATGGAAACTCCACCAGAGGGGAAGTGCCCCCTGAGGTCTAACCACTGTCTCTCTCACTGAAATCCAAGAATGAGTATGGGCTGGGCCAGTGGCTTCTGTACATAGGAGAAATCTCCCCACTCCCTAAGCTGGGAAGTCCCTCTGAATCTGGCCAGTGGCCTCCCTGCTGCAGTATGGAAATTGTCATTCTGTATATGTTCTGTTCTCCCATCAGCCTCTCCCACCTCCCCATAAAGAAAGGGACCTTCTCTAGTCTCCATCTGTGCTGCTGTGGGGATGGGAGAGAGGCGGGCAGGCATAGGGTGGAGATGAGGTGCTAGTGGCAGGAGCTGCTTGCCACCCCTCATCCCTCAGGTCACCATCCTGGAGGCAGACAACAGGATTGGGGGCCGCATCTTCACCTACCGGGACCAGAAGACGGGCTGGATTGGGGAGCTGGGAGCCATGCGCATGCCCAGCTCACACAGGTGAGGCCACCACAGCCCCACCTTCATGCCCAGATTCAACCAGATTAGATCCCCAACTCGATCGCTGCTCTGGTGCCAGCATGAACTCCAACTCTGATCCCAAACCTCGATCCCTGGTCAAGGTCTAGACCCAGCCTCCAACTCTGTCTTTTTGTTGCTGAAAGATCTGCCCCCGTCCCTGATGAGCCACATAATTCAGAGACAGGGTCTTACAGCCTAGAAGAAAAGAGACGGCTTTGTTGCTTTGCCTGGCAAAGGGGACCCACAGCAGGCTAATGCCTTCAAAGCTGTGACTCTACCTTGGGGATGGGGTAGTGTGCTTATACAGTCGTAGCTCAAACAATAAAACATAGATAACTATCAGCAAAATCATTTTCTTGTCCTAAGTTCAGAGTGGTGTCATGGTGTCTCTAGGTGACCAATTCAATAGAGGCTAGCAATTGTCACTTTCTCAGTCTCTTCATCTAGCAAACGCCTGTGGCATGGGTTTGTTTTTTTTGTTTTTTGTTTTTTGTTTTGATAATTTAGCCTATTCTGTAGGGTTACAGTTTCGTGACCTTCTTCCTGGAGAACAACTCAGAAGCCAAGCATGATTACCAGAATAAAGTAGAAACAGTAAAATCAATAGCTTTAGTTTTAACAGTGGGCCTGGAGCTGTGAGTAGCAACCAGTCAGTCAGGTTAGTTAACCATTTCAACGGCAAGCATAAGAATAAGCAATCTGTTAGCCTATGTGTGGCCATTTTATTAATTCTTCACTTTTCCTAACTGCTACCTCAAGACCTCCTGGCTCCAGTCCCACCACTGTCCTCCTGAATGCTCGGGCCACCACATCCAGCCCCTCCAGATCCCCAGCCCTGTCTTCTCCAACCCTGGTCCTTTCCCTGACCCAAGCTCCCTCCTCCATCCAACCCAAAATCTGTCCACTTCATTCCCAGTAAAAGAGAACTCCTGCTCCAAACCCAATCGTAAAACAGTGTCACCCTCAGCTTTCCAACCTTGTTCCCACTTCATTCCCGTCCGCAGCACTGATGACCCCAGATCTAGCCCCACACCAGCCTCGTGCCCATCCCCAAACCCCATCCCTGGCTGCCCTACCCACCCGCTTCCCTTCTCCGAGCACCCCCGCAGGGAGGGGCCCCTGACTGCCCCTCACCAGCAGCGTTTCCCCTCCCTCAGGATCCTCCATGAGCTCTGCAAGAGTCTGGGACTCAACCTGACCAAGTTCACCCAGTACGACGAGAATACGTGGACGGAGGTGAACGAGGTGAAGCTGCGGAACTACGTGGTGGAGAAGATGCCCGAGAAGCTGGGCTACCCCCTGCACCCCAAGGAGAAGGGCCACTCACCCGAAGAAATCTACCAGATGGCTCTCAACAGGGTAGGCGGTCCACGAGCCCTGCAGCCCTGTCCTTCCGCCCAGTCCTCCACGCTGTTGTGTCTCACACCCCCTTGCCTCCTCCCTGGCCTGGCTTTCCTATTCCTGTTCCTTCTAGTCTCTTCCATCTTTACTTTCCTCATAAACCCTGCTGATCCCCACCTCCGATCCCCTTCTCACCCACACACTGGCCTGGACATCCTCACCTTTCTACACCTTCGGCTTAAATTATGATATGCAGGCTATGTCTTCCAAGTCCATTTCCTGAGACTCAGACCTATGTCTGTCTCCACCGGGCCAGCCCCCAGGATCCTCCAGCTCCCACTGAGCTCGGCATCTTCCCCAAACCCACTCATACTCCTGGGTGCCCCTCCTCACCAGTGCCATCACCCGCCCCGGTCACACCTTGCTTCCTACCTTCCCTGTTAGTCCCCTGCCCCCCAATTCTCTTGCACTGTTTCTACCTCTCCATTCCACAGCCCCAACCCCAGTTCAGGCCTGGGCCTCTCCCTGCATCCTCCCCCTGCCCCTCCCCTGCTCACAGCCCCTATGCTCCCCAGCACCTCAGCTTCAGGTCCAAACCCTGAACAGTCTGGTCTCTCTCACCCCTTTAACCCCATCTTCTCTCCTCCAAGAAATGTTTGTAACCTGCCCCCAAATCCTCATGACGGCCCAAACACCCCCAGTTCTGTGCACCTTTGTACCCACTGTGCTTTCCCATCATCCCACACCCATGCCACTGCCCTGCCTGGGAGGCCTCCTTTTCCCATCCAGGGAACCTTACTCATCCCTCAAGAACCAGCACCAATATCCCCTCCTCCAGGAAGCCTTCCCTGATGCCCTCAGAGAGGAGCCAACCTCATTCTCCTCTGGGAGCGCCTAGTTGTCCATCTCTCCTCCTGGACAAGGGTCGGCACTGAGTCTGGACGGGCCATTTCTGTGCCCTGACACTGTCCAGTTCAGGGAGCCTCAGGAAATGTGAGGTGAAGGGTAGGTGGGTGAGTGAGGGAGTGAATGAAGGGGCACATCCTTCAAGGAGTTCCCCGACCACAAAGGGGAAGCCAGATGGACAAAGGAGAGGGCTGGAATCAGACGAAACAGCAAGGCTTCCGGGAGGGAATGAGACTTGAACAGAGCAGTGAAGGATGGCCACTCAGACATCTGGCAAAGATGACATGGGGAAGGGGGTATAGTTCAGCAGTAGAGTGTGTGCCTAGAGTGCACAAGGTCCTGGGTTCAATTCCCACTACTTCCATTAAAAAATTAGTTAATTAATAGCCAAATTACCTCCCCCACCAAAAAAAAAAAGAATGACACAGGGGAGCCAGTGCATTGGTATGGAGTGGCAGTGGGGGAGCCCCAGGGTGATCTGGGCACTGGACACTGTGCTGTAGAACCAGAGCTATCCTAAGGGACAGGGACCAAGGGTCTGGCAGGGGCCTTGAATGTCAGGCTGAGGGCTGGGAGCCTGGGAGGGCTGTGGGCAGGGGAAGGACCTATCAGGGCTGATGGTTGGGTGACAGAAGGGACTCTGCTTCTTTGTGAGCCCACAACGATCTAGGTGACAAATAATTACTGGGCACCAGAAAGACACAGCACTGACTGGGACAGACTCCATCCCTGCTGAATGGAGCACGCAGGCTAGGACAGGGGCAGGCAAAATCATACCCAACCGGGAGGAGTGTGACATCAGCCGGGTGGGTGGAATGCTGGGACCTGAGGGGTAGGAAGGCTTTCCAGAGTGATGTCACTGAGTTGCAGGGGAGAGCAAGGATGAGGACGTGGAGTGGGCAACGTCCTGGCAGCTTGGATGACAGCGGTCAATAGCCAGCCGTGGGCAGGAGCAGGAAGAAAAGCTAGGTTTGAACTCCAGGTGGGGCCTCCCCCGACTTGTCCACACAGCTGTCTGCTTGTCCCACCACAGGCCCTCAAAGATGTCACTACACTGGGCTGCAGAAAGGCAATGAAGAAGTTTGAAAGGCACACGCTCCTGGTGAGTAGGGGCCTGGGTGTCGCTGTCTGAGAAACAGACAAGGAGGGTGCCCATGGGGTTTCGGGCAGGGAGTCAGAAGGCAGGAACCCCAGACCCCACCGTGCCACCGCCTCCCTCCTGCCTGACCCGGGCTGGACATGCTCCTCTCTAGGCTTGTTTCCATCTGTCACAAGACGGGGACCGGATCGCTAAGGTCCAGGGAACCATAACAAACCACTACCGAGAGGCTCAGCGGGGAAAGGCCCCCATGGGAGTGGGGAAGGAGCCGGCAGGGGCAGCCTGCCTGGGCCCTGACCTGGGCCTGCGCCCGTCCCCCAGGAATACCTCCTCGGGGAGGGGAACCTGAGCCAGCCGGCCGTGCGGCTCCTGGGAGATGTGATGTCCAAGGACGGCTTCTTCTATCTCAGCTTCTCCGAGGCCCTGCGGGCCCACAGCTGCCTCAGTGATCGGCTCCGGTGAGGGTGTGGGTTGGACGTGGTGGCGGGGCCAAACCGGGCGAGCGACTGAGTAGGCGGGGCCGGCGGGAAGGGCGCGGCCTGCAGAGGTGAGAGCAGGGGCCGCGGAGGCGGAGAGAGGAGGAAAGGAACAGGATAAGGGCGTGGCCCAGAGGAAAAGAGGCGGGGTTCCCGGATCACACAACTCTCTGCTCCTCAACCGCGCCGGGCGTCAGGGACAGGCGAGGGCAGGAGTCGGTGAAGGGGTGGGATTGGAGGGACTCGGTCGGATGAGAACGGGAGCAGGCGGCTGGGAGAGCACGGGAGGGGTCGCTGGGTAGGGGCAGGCCCGAGGACCCGGATCATGCTCCCGCCCCGCCTACAGGTATAGCCGCATCGTGGGAGGCTGGGACCTGCTGCCACGTGCGCTGCTGAGCTCGCTGTCGGGGCCTGTGCTGCTGCACGCGCCTGTCGTGGCGATTAAGCAGGGGATGCACGAGGTGAGCGTGCACGTCGCGTCCTCGCGCCGGGCCCGGAACCTGAGGTCCATGACCGCTGACGTGGTGCTGCTGACGGTGAGCGGGCCAGCGCTGCAGCGCATCACCTTCACGCCGCCGCTGACGCGCAGGCGGCAGGAGGCGGTGCGCGCGCTGCACTACGTGCCGGCCACCAAGGTGTTCCTGAGTTTCCGTCGGCCCTTCTGGCACGACGAGCACATTGAGGGCGGCCACTCAAACACCGACCGCCCGTCGCGCGTGATATTCTACCCGCCTCCGGGTGAGGGCGCGCTGCTGCTGGCCTCGTACACGTGGTCGGACGCGGCAGTCCACGTTCGCCGGCCTGAGCCTGGCGGACTCGCTGCGCTTGGCGCTGGACGACGTGGCGGCGCTGCACGGGCCGATCGTGTACCGGCTCTGGGACGGCAGCGGCGCCGTCAAGCGCTGGGCAGAGGACCCGCACAGCCAGGGCGGCTTCGTGGTGCAGCCGCCGACTCTCTGGCAAACCGACAAGGACGACGGGCAGGAGTACAACTGGGCAATCCCCTACGGCCGCATCTACTTCGCCGGCGAGCACACGGCCTACCCGCACGGCTGGGTGGAGACGGCCGTCAAGTCAGCGCTGCGTGCCGCGATGCTGATCAACAGGCGGGTCGACAGCCAGACCACCAGCGGGAACAACGCCCAGTTCATCAGTATCCACAGCAGCCCAGAGCGCGTGCACTCGGCGCCCGGCCACCACCAGTGCAACCTCGAAAGGGGGCAGGGCACCCCGCCTTCGACCATGACCCCAAAGAGGACCCAGTATTAAAGTAGTTTTTGGAAACAGCCTTGTGGCCACGCCCCCTCCCTGGCTCCCTGGCAGGGAGCAAAGCCATTAGTCCTCGCGGTAGAAGGTGCTGCGCCTATCCTGGAGCCCTGGAAGCTGTCTTGTCTTCCTAGGCCATAGGGTCTCCGTTTGATGGAGTAGGAGGTACAGATACCGCTTTGCCCCACTAAATGGCAATCACAGTACCCGCCACTCCTGTCAGACACAGACGGGTCCTGATGCGAGTAACATAAAGCACAGCTAACAGTGGGTTAAACACCAGTTTATTTTTCTCTTGACAAGAAGCTGGTAGACAGGGGCCTAGAGAGCAGCTCTGGAGGCCCTTCCATCTCGGTTACGCCCAGGATGTGCCTCCGCACAGCCACTAGGTGGAGGCCGCACTCCAACGCCCAATTCTCACTCTAAAAGCCCCAAACTCAGGCAGGTAGGGGAGCCCTGCCTCCACAAACCCCCACCCACTCAACCCCAAGGGGGCCCCCCTTATGTCTCATTGTTGGGATCGGGGTCACAGTGGTCTGACATCGATTCTGCAGATTCTTCAGAGACCACGAGCCACCCCCTCCCCCATCCAGGTCCAAGCCAAAGTGGTGGCCTCCTCTACACCTACTAGAGGCCAATTGGATAGAAGTGTCAGTTTCAAGAAATCAGCCAATGAGTAGAGCGAGAAAGGCGTGGTGGAGAGTCCCGCCCCGGTTTGCACCTCCCCTCCCCAGCCTAGGGGAGCGGCGGGTCGCGGGCGCGGAAGCTTGAAGTGTCTATACTGAGAACGCGCCCAGCAGGGTTAAGAGTCTGCGCTTTCCTCCTCCTCCTCCTCTGGAAGGATCTCCAGGCTGCTGTCAGGCTGCGTGACTGTGTCCGCAGAGGGCGGCGGAGCCGGTGGGGCCCGGGTGGGTGACAGCGGCAGTGGGGAGCCAGGGGGCGAGGGGCTGTGGGGCTCTGTGGGCGGCGCCAGACCTAGGACCTCCTGCACATTGTGGGGCAGCTCCTGGAGGGTTGGGGGGTAGGGAAGGAAAAGTCAGAGGTTTGACGTGGGTTGGGGGACGATGGGGAGGGGTCAGGGACTCACCCGGCAGGCGGTCAGCTGTCGGTAGAGGGCCTCAGCCCGCATCAGCACGTCCTCCACGCTCAGCTTCATGGTCAGCTCGTTGATGTGCTGCGGGAGGGGGTGGGTCAGGCCTGCCTGCCTGCAAGCACTTAACCACCACCGCCCTAGCGCCTACTCTGTGCCCTGTGCTGGGGATACAATGGAAGGAAGACAGACTGGGCTGACCTTGGGGCTCATAGTGGAGCTGGGGTATCAGGGAGGTCATGCTCTCTTGAGCTGCTCCGCCAGGCGCAGGATACAAGGAAAAGGGTCCTGAGCTCCACCCCGGCGGCCCCGCCCCACATTAGTGCACTGGGGGAGGGGCAGGGCTCCCCTTATGCAGGGGCCGCATGCTCTGCGAGAATGAGAACACCGCCCAGAGACAGGCATAAGATGTAAAACAGACCCGGGCTCATGGCCACCGGCCTCCCACCTTAGCTAATCACACTTTCAACAACCCTGTTTTGAGTACCCACTACCGAAAGGCCCCGTGCCAGCCTCCACGGAGTTCACAGCCAGCTGATGTGTCTCCTTCAAGCAGGTGAGGAGGGCCAAGGAGAGAGTAGGGACTGGGAGGGAGCCAGGGTCTCACCTTGAGGATCTCATTGGAGCCGAAGCCAGAAAGCATGAGGGTGTCCCGTTCCATGTCCAGGATGGCACAGGCCACCAGCAAGTGCAGGTTGGGTCCGGGGAGCCCTGTCCACAGCACCTAGCAGTGCCAGAGGAAGGGGTCACCACAAAGCCTCTGACTGAGGTCCCACCCAGCTCTGCCCCTCACCCTGCCCACCCACCTCCCACCCACCTCCCAGCCTTGCCCATCAGCAGCTCAGTTCTCAGCTCTCCCATCCAAACTGGCCGGCCCACCTCCCACAGTCGAAGGACATCCGGGAACGGGAATTCTCTCTTGAACCAGATGAGCAGCCACCGGAAGCAGAAGCAAAGAGAGCCAGAGTCTTGGGAGTCTAGGGGAGGACAGCGGTGGGAGGGACAGTGCTCAGCACAGAGCCACCTCAAAATCAACTCCACTCCCGCTTATTCAGTGTGCTCAGTGCTCAGACTGGGACCCTAAGAAGTCACGCTGACTGTAAGAACCTCCACCAGTCTAGGCAAGTGGAAGGAGAGCTTGGTGTCAACAGGACCCTCTCCCATCCTGCCTTCCAGCCTCCAGACAAGGTGAGCTAGTCCCATGTTCTCCACTCTTACGTGGAAGGGTAGCAGTAAGATCAGTCCACTCAAGGGAAAATCAGATATATTCCACACCCAAAGCTGGTGGAGGCGTGAGGAAGCCAGCACTTGTGTACATTGCTGGCAAAAACAAAGCTGGTCTGACTTTCTGGGAATGCGGTGATGGGGACAAACGTTTCAAAAGCTGTAAAAATATGTTCTGTGCTGGATACAATTTCACATCTAGGAATTTAACCTCAAGAAATTAGCCACAAATACAGATTCATCATGGGGAAAAAACGCACATAATCTAAATGTCCAGCAGGTCAGGACAAATCTATTTTTGTACATCCTTAAGCTGGACAGAACACCATGCAGTCATCAAGACTGATGGTTTACTCCCCCGACCCAAAAAAATAAAAAAAGACTGATGGTTTAGAAAACTTTCAGCGACAGAGAGTGTCCGGGTGCCCACAGAAGTGGCAGGGGCTTTCTAAGCCTTAGTTTCCTCTTCAGTGAAGTGAGGCCAGTTTTGTCTCCCTCCCGCAGGGTGCTCCTGAAAGTCAGTGAGGAGACGCCCACAGATTAGCCAGTTTATCACGATCTGCATTTGAAAGACTAACCCTACCAACAGCAACTTTTACTTTCTTCTCTTAATCAGAATTTCCTACATTTTTTACATTGAACGAGTAACAAAGACGAATTGTAAAGCCTAAACGCAGCGGTCCTAACCCCAGGAGCCCAGAGAACCAGTTTTTAATCCCCAGAGCCTCCAGGGTGAGTGGAGATAAAAGCTAGGTGGAGGTGAGGACTGGGAGGAGCCACACCCAGTCCCTTACCTGAGAAGTGGAACTGAACTGACAGGGCATGAAGGTGCCAGTGCACCCACATCTGCCTCTGCGGTTTTGCTCCAAAACTGCAATCCTGCTTTCACATGTCAGTTCTGGGTTCTATGGGGATCTCTCCCTTGTCTGGACTGTGATCAGACTTCCTGGACTTTGTCAGTGGCCACTCCCATCCCCTGCCCATCGGCCCAGACGCGGTACCTAGGAAGTCGCAGAGCGGCGGGTCCAGGACCCTCAGGAGCAGCAGGAGTTGCCCGAGCTGCCGCTTCATCGTCTCCTGACTCTCCTCAAAGTTCCCGTGCTGCGGGAGGGAGGGCCACGTGAGGAGCCAGCTCCCCATCCTCTGAGGGGGCCTTTCTCCCACCCTTGCCCTGAGCCTCACCACGAGCTCCATGAAGCCACAAAAACACCAGAAGGCATCCACCTCGTTCTGAGTGACGTAGAGGATCGGAGAGAGGAGGTCACTCATGCCCTGGACATAACCTGGGGGGGGGAACAGCGTCAGGGCCCAGCCCAGGCCTGCAGCCCCCTCCCCCCACAGAGAAGGCCCGGCCCCCAGCCCCTTCCCGGGCTGCCGCGCACCAAGGTCAAAGTGGTACATGCAGTAGGTGAGGAGGATGTCGTTCAGCAGCCCCAGCCCCGGGTTCTCGGGGCCCTCGTAGAATTTGTTTGTCCGATCAGTGCGGCTCACATCTCTCTCTGTGGGGACAGGGTGTAGATGGGAACACTGAGGCTCAGGATGGTAAAATCACTTTGCCAAGATCTCGCAGTGAGTAGACGGCAGACTTGAACCCAAAGAACCTGACTCCTCTCCCCTGCTCCCCGTCTCCCACTGCCCGGTCCTGGCCATTCCATTCCTGCTCACCCCCCTTTCACTCCCCCTCCACCCCGATAAATGACCTTGCCCTGGTTCTTGGGGAGGCAAGGGGCTCCCTCCATCCTCTCCCCGCTGTTTCCAGTCTCACCATCCCAGCCCAGCCCTGCCCTGCCCCCCACCGATGAGGCTGCGGTATCCATGCAGCAGGGAGTTCCTCCTCTCCTGCTCCGGGCTCACAGACTTCCACTGCAGCTTCATGCGGAAATACTCATCCCTGAGGGGTGGGGAGAAGTGAGATGGTAAGGACACGCCAGCTGCCTCCTCATCCTTTGGGGCTCAGCCCAGGTCGCCGCCTCAGAGCCCCTCTCTGACCACACAGACTGCAGTGGGCCACCGGGTCATTCTCACCACCGCCCCCATGCTTCCCCTTCCTGACGTATCTCGTGATACAGAACACCCTTGGGGCTTTGGTTCAAAGTCTGTCACCCCCACTGGACAGCACCGGGGGCAGGGACCAGGACACACAGCAGAGGCACAAGATACACTGGGAGTGTGGAGAGGTAGCCCCATGGGGTCAGGAAGCCTGCTGCAAAGCGGTGAAAGTGTGTGGTCAGTGCAACCGATGTTTGGGGAGCAAGTGTACAGTGCGCCTGTGACATGCTGCTGCCAGACTGCCCACGGGAGGTGGTGTTGATCAAAAACCTCCAATCGACTTGGGAGGCCGGGGAGGTAAGGGGCTGGAGCCCAGTAGGGCAGGGGGCCGCGGCTTCTCACTCACGTTTTCTTGCGCACATGGGCCTTGTGCTCCTCAGTGGATCCCTCCCAGCTCAGGTATCCCAGGAGGAACTTCCAGGCCTCGCGCCGCAGGCTGGGGCTCAGACCCTGGAAGATGGGGCCGAAGGGCGGCTCAGAGGGGCCTCCCCTTGGCTACCCACCAGCCCTGGCCAGCCCTGTCCACTCACTCAGCTCCTCACCCCTGAGAAGATGCGGGCTTTCAGCTCAGGGACCTGCTGCAGGCGGCCCTCAGGATCCACGTGTCGGGCCCACTCCTCCTCTGTGACCGGAGGCGCTCGCTCCACAGCTGGCCGTGGCCCCAGCTCCACCTGCAGGATACAAGGTGAGTGGGCCCTGGGCCTCAGCCGGGCCTGCTGGGCTCCTGTCTGTGGGGACCCCACAGTGCTTCCCAGCCCGTCCCAGGCCACCTCCGCATCAGCTCAGAGCCCTTAGCGGGACCGACAGTTCACATTCAGGGTGGGAAGCATCTCCTTTCTTGGGTCAGCGGAAAAGTCACCTCCTGAGCCAGGAGCTCCCCCCAGTAATAACAGGCGCCAGGCACACAGGCAATAAGCATTTTCTGCCAAGTCACTCACGCAACCCTATGAGGGTGGGACCATTATCTCCACTTCAGCAAGGAAATACAGTCACATGCCCAAGGTGGCAGCCAGAAAGCAGCAGGGTCCACCCTGATACTCACACAAGAAATGACCTCAAAGCCAGGCTCAGGCTCATCATCGGGGGCAGGAGGCAGGTCAGGGGAGGCCCCCTCCGGGTGTGGCTGCAGGGCTCCCCGGAAGAAGTTGGTCACACGGGAGAAGCTGCTGAAGGTGGTGGAGTAGGGATCCTGGAGGAAGCGCTGGGGACAAGGCCGACGGTGGTCACAGTCCACCCTCCCTGCCTGGCCCGTGTGATCCGCCCCTCTGCCCACTCCCGCCCACCTGGCCCTGGGGACTCACAGACACGACGTTGGAGCTGTCCTGGTCAAAGAGCTGGAGGTGGTGGAAGGAGTTGGAGAGGGCCGACGAGTCATGGGGGAAGACAAGGTAGAGGCGGGAGTCCTGCGGGGAGCTGGAGGGCAGGCCGTTGTGGTGACACACAGGGAGAGGGCCTCATGTCTGTCCCAGCGTCCCGACTGCCCCCGGAGAATCCTTCATCCCAGGCCTGAGACCCCAGGGGTGGGCCCAGGACTGCTAATAAAGGCCTTCCACCTCCCCGGCCAGGGTGACTGACGGGAGGCAGCCCCAGGATGCTGCTGGAATCAGGGGAAACAGGTGCTTTCCCTCCACCGGGGCCCCAGAGAACGATACAAACTCCAGGGGAGAAAAAGCAACTCTTTCTACATTCTAGGACCCAGGTCCTGCCTGATCTCAATCTACCCTTTGACTTCAAGATTACACGTGCCACTCAACTCTCTTTCTGCGTTTAAATCAGCCTTGCATTTCCTTCACAGACTTGCAGGGTCCGCCTGCAGCCAGGGAGGGATGGGACCTGGCCAAAGGCTCGGCACTAGGAGAAGGCTCACCTGGCCAACAGCAGGTAACGGCTGAGGATGCGCAGCAGGGCACGGGTGCCCCCGCGGTGGAAGTGCAGGGCGGGCAGGGAGCCTCCGGCCTGTGTGACCAGGACCAGGTATGCCCAGCTGAGGCCTGGCTTGGAACGGCGGATGGACTTGAGTTCCCCTAGACTCACCGAGAAGGCCCAGGAGCCCCGGGGGCAGCTGGGCTCTGCACCTAGTGGGGCGGCACGGTGTCAGGAGCGGGCGTGGAGAGCCAGAGTGTCTCCCAAGAGCCCACCACGAGCCAGCCTTTTCCTCCGGAACAGGAACCAAAGGAAATGAGAGGGGAGTCCGGTGGACATGTACCTGCTCCAGAATCTCCCTGGGCTCCCCGCTGCCCCTCAGGTCTGTCCCCTGCCCCTTGTCTGTCTCACTTCTGACCCCCTCTTCACTCCACAGTGCCCCGCGCCACTGGCCTTGCTCCCCTGCTCTCCCTGCCGGGAGAGAAAGCTCCAAGCGTCCCTCAGAGCCAGGCTCTGGCACCACCTCTTCACGGAAGGCTTCTCCACCCCCTGGGGGGTTAGATACCACCCCTGGGGCCCCCAGCACCCTGTGTGACTCCAGGATAGTCCAAATTATCTTGTCACCCTGAAGTTGTTGCCCCTGCAGCCTGGAAGACTTCAGGGGCAGGACTTATGGGGGGGGTGCCCACAGCCGATCAGGGAGCCTGGAGGGATGAGCAAGGCTGTGAACCCCAGAGACGCTGGCCACACTGGACCTGCACCCCACCCGCTCTCCTGGGACTGGAAGGCTGCTGCTGGGCGGCTACCTTGACTGTGGGCATGAAGCCCATGGAGCCATGACCACTGGGGTAAGTTGTGTCTCCACCTGCCCCTCCAGGGGCATCAGCTCAGCCTACCTCTCGTGGGCTCCGAGTGGCGGGGCCGTGGCCGCACAGTGCTGATGACGGCCCAGTCAGGTTCATAGCCAGGGTCAAAGGTCGGTTCCTCCTCAGAGGTGCAGGAGTCACCCCCACAGACATCCTTGGGGAAAGAGAGGAAGAGACTGAGGGATGGTGGATTCAGGGTTTCCAGATCTGAGCCTCCAGGCCACCCTGGATGCAAAGCCCCATCAAACAAAGAGGGAAACTGAGGCGCAAAGAGGGCACAGCACCTGTCCAGGGTCATTAACCAAAGCACCCTCATATGGGAAGCAGATAGTTAAGCAGGGGCTGGGGTGCTTTGCAGTCAGCCTGCCAGAGGTCACTAAGCTTAAAGTAAATAATCAGTAGTCTCTAGGGTCACTGGAATCAAAACCACGATCAGATACTACTTCACACCCACTGAGATGGCTAGAATTAAAAAACACAGGTAATACCAAGTGTTGGTGAGGATGCAGAGAAACTGGAACCTCTTACGCTGCAGGCAGGAATGTAAAATGGTGCAGCCACTCTAGAAAACCATCTGGCAGGTTCTCAAAAGGTTAAACATAAAATTAGCACGTGATTAGCATGTGACCCAGCTCCTAAGTACATACCCAAGAGAAATGAACATGAACACCCACGCAAAAACTGACACACGGATGTTCAAAGCAGCATCAGTCATGACTGCCAAGAAGCAGAAACAACCCACTGTCTCTCAAACTGATGAATTAGCAAAATGGGTAGATCCCTACAATAGAATTTTACTCAGCGCTAAAAAGGAAGTTACTGACAGATGCTACAATAGGGATAAACCTTGAAAGGATCCTAAATATAAAAACCCAGTCCCAAAGAACCACATATTGTATGATTCTGTTTATATGAAATGTCCAGAAAGGCAAATTTATAGAGACAGAAAGCAGATTAATGGCTGCCAGGGACTGGGGGAGGGGAGTACAGGTACAAGGTTTCTTCCAGGGATGATAAAATGTTCTGGAATTAGATGGTGGTGATGTTTGAAAAATCTTGTGAATATTAAAAACCACTGAATTATGCACACTGAAAAATATAAATTTTCATAAAGCTTGAGCTTTATTGAGATTTACGGTAAGTGAAATTATAAGTAGCTGGCTCACAGTTTGTTCTACGTTCATGTTATGGAAAGTAACATTAAGTGCCCAGCACAACGGAAGCTGAAATCTCCCAATATCTGCTTTCCCAACCTTCCCTACGGTTCTGAGTGGTCTAGGGACTCAACTCTGCCCAGTGGGAGCTGAGAGCCGTGGGGAGTTTGAAGAAGGCAAATTCCTGATAAAAAGGTGCCTGCAGGAGTGAACAGCATATTCAGCTAGCCTCTGGATGCTGTCAAGGGAGGACATGGTGTTTGGCGCTGTGGCAGCCAACTAGGGCCATGAGGGGAAGGCCAAGGAAAAGTGGGGACACCTGTCCACAACCTGCTGAACCAGCCCTGGCAACGCCATCTCTGCCTTCTGTGTTTTGTGACATGAAGAAATGGATGATTTCGCCAGTGTTTACCAACATAATAATAGCAAGTAGCACTGTCTGCCAAATATTTACAGCTCTCTGCTTCTTGGGCACACAGCAGGATTACACTGAACTGTACTGGCTAACTGGAGGCGTGCAGCTAGCTCTGCCCAAAGGGTTGGGATGTATCACTTCCAGGATGGACTGTTTAACTGCCAAGGCAAGACTTCTAGAGCTGTCTTTACCTCTGCCACAAGGAATGGAGACCTTTAAGATGGTAGCTGCTCTAGCAGCATGCTTCTTTGAGTAATCACGATGAGCAGAGCTCCTTGGCCAGCTTGCAACACACATGTAGAGTGTGCAAAAACAGTTAAAAAGGCTGGAGCTCTAGCAGCCTGTTTGGACCATGAGTCAGCTTTAAGGAGAGATGCCATGTGTTGAGGATGGATGCCACATGCTGAGAATGGCAGAGCAGTGATGCAAGGAAGGTGGGTCACTGATAACAAATGAACCTGTACTGCTAACTTCTGGGTTTTGTGCTAGGAGAGAAAAGAGCTGCTATATTGTTTAGGCCACCTGGTATTCCTGTTTATATTACACATAGCGAAATGTAACTTCTAACTGACGTAGGGGGTTTCTGGGAAATCTTTCGCTTTTCCTGATGAGGACAGATGTGTCTGGCACCCTGCTGGCTCCCTTTTTCCTGCATTAAAAGGCAGATACCATTGCTGCAGCTGAAGTAATCATTTAAAGGCCACTAGTGCCAAATACAGTAGGATCTCAGTGATCCAGGCACTGATGTCACCAAACAAGGACACAGCACCCCTATACCTCTTCTCAGCCTGGCATTTCAGGCCCAATCACCTTTCCAGCAAACCCCTCTACAGAGAAACCCTACTTTCCCCTGTGCCCTGAAATATATTTCCTCCTGCCATCTCTGAATATATCCTTGCCCCCTTCTCATCTTTAGAGTCCCAGCTCAAACGTCTGCTCCCCAGGAAGAGGCAGGGCTCTGGAATCATTGTGTCTGAGCTCAAATCTGAGTTCCGACAATACTCAGCTTTTCTGATCTCAGGAAAGGGGCTTCCTCTCATTGTGCCTCGGTTTCTCAAAAAGAGAACGAAGGGTGAGGACTTAGGCAGTGACTGGTTTGGATTCAGGACTCCAGGTCCCAGCACCATCCAGCACAAGGCCTGGCAACAAGACCTCTGGAAATGAGACCTCTTGTACCTGGGAAAGGAAGGAATCCTGGCAAAGTGAGTCAGTAGCTTCCATCAAGTCCTGTTCCCTCTCTGGACATGAAGGCAGGACTGCCCAAGAGAAATGCCACACTCCTTCAAGTCCTTATGGGCTGAGAACCCGTGGGACCTGAGATCCACAGGCTGAGGTGTCCTCCTGCACCCTGGCAGGGCTCCCCCAAGAAGCAAAGGGAGTGAGGAGGCAGGCAGGTGTCCCCACGGCCACAAATCTCATTCTGTCTGCTTTCTTTCTGTGAATGGGCATCTTCAGCCCCATTTTCCAGAGAAGAGGAAACCGAGGGGCAGAGAAAACCTAGATCTCAACCAGGGTCACACATGCCCCAAGGGTAGGTCTGGGTTTGTACCCAGGTCCTTCAGAGAAGCTTTCCAGTGCCGCGACCCTAGAAAAAAAGCAAGTGGAGAAGGGGGAAGCAAGGAAAGCCTACCTTCTTGGAGAAGAGGATTTGGGTGGAATCTCCGGCCTCCTCTACAGGAGCCCAGTGGAGGAGGACATCATTGTCCTGAAGGAAGGAAAGAGGAGTTGGAGGGGATCCCCTTCAAACTCCTCAAACCATTTTTTCAAACTTCTTTCCTGTTCTGGACCCTCAGCCTTAGAAAGCCCTCCTCCTCCTTACATTCCCCACCTCCAGCCATCCAATCGCTGACCTCCACACTGTACTCCTACAGATGCAGCCTCCACCCCGCTCCGGGCCTGCCCGAGCCCTGCTCCCCCCCGGCCCACCTTTTCCACCACACGGATGACGCCGGCGATGAGGGAGTCCGGGTCTTGGTGCTTCTTGGCACTGGTGTGCAGGTACACGCCTCCCTTCTCAAACACCACCTAGGGACGGGAACCAGTGAGGGGCGGGGCCCAGAAGGGAGCCAATGGGAGCAAACCCAGGGAGGAGCTATTTCTCAGGGAACAGGCCCCGGGGTAGTATCAACTAGGGGATGGGGCCGGGAGCGATGAAGCCTGAATACCAACCAAGCATCTCGGACTCCGGAGAATGGGGAGGGAGGGAAGGAGGAGTGCATTCCAAAGTGGGCGGGGCCTAGAGGAGCATCTCAGCAGCCCAGGGGGCGGGGCTAAGTGATACGGGTCTTCCTATGGCAGTGGAAGAAACGGTGACAGCTCGTTTATTAAGGGAATGGTGTGTTTGTTAAGGATGTACAAGGCTCCCAGAGCCCCAGCAAGGCCTGAGAAAGAAGCTGACCGCCGGAGGGGGGCGTTTTCCATACACAGAAGCGAAAGAAAGCGTCTTCAATACTTACCCTGTAACCGGCTCCCTCCATAGCCGCGGTGGAGGCCCCAGTGCCCCGGCCCCTCCTTTTCCGGGTCAGCGTGCTGTCACATCCGGATAGTAGACGCCCCTCAAGCCCAGACAGTGGTAGCGCCCTTATCTGTACTAGAACAGGAGTGGGTGTAACCATTTTTCAGAATGGGGTGGTTGCACTCGAACCACGAGGTTTCAAGTCACATGGCAGACACTGAAAGGTGGAGCGGCCAGCAAGAGTGCGCAGGCGCAGTGCTACCGTCCTCACCACGAAGTAAACAAGGGGGCGGTCCAAGAGCTCCGCCCCCTGGCTCAGGCTAGCTCCTAAATGGTTACTCCTTTCTTCATATTGTATACTGGCATCGAAGCCAAAGAGATGCCATTTTGCTCGAGGGCACAGCTAAGGCTGGTCAGCTGCGGCCATGTTAATGCGGGGCAGTCCCATCTGTCTGCGGGGCGCGGTACCAAGGTCCTGGAAGAGAGAATCGGATAAAAGGAAAGGTGAGAGTTGCTGTACGTCACACGAAGCGCCGAAGGACTCGGGTTAAGGAGATGAAGCCGTCAGTATCCCCGGGAACGAAGCGGTCCCGGACGAATTCCTGAGTCACCGTCGAGAGAAAGCGGTCTCGGCCCGCCATATTGAAGCTGGGCAAGCCGAAGCAAGAAAGGCTGCCATGTTGGATTTTTGCCAGTCTTGGTGCTGAGAGGGGATAGGCTGGAGAGCCCAAGTACATTGTGGGTAAATGATGCCAGGCTGGTTAACAGGCACTACTTTCCATCAGTTCTGTGGAAGAAATTATTATGGGTGAGGGACGTCAGGTCGCTTGCATTCGAGACCTGTGGTCCTGGGTGTGTCTGTGCATTTGCCCCTATTTCTTGAGGGTAAGTCGAAATGGTTTAGGTTTGTTTCCGAGCAAGCTGAAGCCTTTCTTTCACATCTTTCTTGTGGGCACCCGGCTGTCGCCTTTGCCCCCTTGTGACCCGATGAAACCCCAGTAACCACCATCTTGGGGTTGGGCGGCCGGGATAAGGGAGGCGGAGTGTATAGGGTGGAGGCAGGCCAACCACGCGGAAGTGACGCATGGCGCCGCCATGTCTTTTGAGGGCGGCGACGGCGCCGGGCCGGCCATGCTGGCTACGGGCACGTGAGTGGAGGCGGCGTTGTGAACCGCGGTGTGGGGAGGATTTGGCTGTCTGGAGGAGAGGGGAGCTTGGAGGGCGAGCCGCTTGCGGGAAGGGTATAGCCTGCGTAGGTCAGAGCGCAGAGATCCCCCAGTGACCCTATGCTGAGCGCTGGAAAGGTGTCGCCCGCGGGAACCGTCGTGTCTGACTCGAGGCAAAGCTTCGACAGTCGTACCTCCGGTCTTCAGACCTATTAGGATACTTATCTTGGCTGTGGACCATGTCCACAGAGTCGGGGGGTTACTTGGTGGGGCCTCGGGGCTCCCCTCACCCGTCCAAAGGCGGGACTTCCGGTCCTGGCCCCCACCTGGGCGGGATTTCCTGTTTTCTTCCTAGTGAAATGGGTCTACCCTGAACCCCCAGGCGAAGTAGGGTGGCATCTGAGCGGTATAGAAAGAATCCAGGCATTCACCTGCCCCCGGCCACGGGGTGCATCCTGGAGTTCCTCCCAACGTTGGGCGGAAAAGGGGTTTACTTCCAGTTTGACAGGTGGTTGGAGAGCACTTCGCTAGCGTCACTCATTCCTTGGGGGGACTCTTGCCTCACCTCTTCCTGGAGTCAGTTTCCTGACTTCACCTCTTCCCCTCATCCTAAAAGGCCAGTCACCTTACCTCTCCCTTCTCCCTCCTATGGGGAACAGGTCTCGCCTCCATTTGGGGGAAGGGGTCTTCCATCTCTCAGCCCCTTGGAAGATACAGGACTTGCTCCCGAGGCTGAAGAGGTGGGAGACTCTCCTGTGGGGTACTTGGCTTGGCTGCTCTCCTGTTGGGTAACTGACTCCAGAGAGCCCCGAGGCCTTGGCAGAGAGGTCTGCGGGAGTCGCCCGTCTCCTTTTTGCCCTTGCCTCCTCTTTGAGTTGGGTGCGGGACCCTCATGACCCACTCACTCCCACTTTACTCTTTTCAACTTCTAAGATCTAGGAGATTGATCTACTCAGAAGTCTCCTCTAAGAGAGGAGTTTAATCTTGATGTCCTAAGGAAGTGAGAGCTTCTGGCCTAGCACTACCAGGCTGTGTGACTGTGGACCAGTCATTTCCCTGCCCTGAGCCTGTTTCCTCCATCAGGTGGGGATGACGTGAGGAGTGGCTGTGAGACCCTGAGCACCTCCCAGTTCTGTTGAGTTTCGGAGTCGAGCGGACAGCAATTTCAGCCCTACTTCTGCCCTTTCTACTTGTGTTTTCCAGCCAGTACCTTAAGTTCTCTGAGCCTCATTTTTCCCATCTGGATTAGGAGATCATAAATCTTTCCTCATGAGGTAGGCAGGATGACATTTGGGGTTAACAACAGGTTCTGAATCCAGATGGCCAAATTCAGGCCCAGCTCTCCTCTCTCTAGCCGAATGACCCTGGTCAAGATATTGAATCTCTGTGGGCCTCAGTTTGCAACTGTCAAGTAGGGTCATAAGAGCTCCTCCCTCACAGGGGTAGTGGGAGGATGGGATGAGATGGTTGATGACACACTTGGGTCCCCCACCTGTGGGAGGTGCGATACCAACTTGCTCCAGGGTCTGTCAGGACTGCTGCTGGTTGTGCTGTCACTGCATGCGGCTCCCAACGAGGGCTTTGTACTCCATTTGTAAGGTAACAGCTCCTCCCTTAGTGGCTCAGGTAGGAGGCGAGAGGACAGGCACAGAGTCCTGGCACAGAGTGGGTGCTCAGCAAACCCTGGCTTCTATGATCATGAGTCACAAAGGGCCTGCAAATTACAATCAAGCTACTCTGCCCCCTGGAGGGCTCAATCACAGCCCTGTTTGAATCCCTTCAGTGATGGGGAGCCTGCTTCCTCTCTGAGGAAGTTCCTCATCTGCCCAGCAGCCTGGGCTCAAACACTGTGGTTTACACGGAGAAAACAGTGAGGCACAGAGAAGGTCAATCAGTGGTCCAGGGTCACACGGCAGCTTTGAGAGAGTCAGAGCAGGTAGCCAGGCCCGTTGCCACTTGTTCTCACCTTGTAAGGAGATGCCTCCTGCAGGTGATCTCTGTAGGGCTGAGCTGTTCTGGAGACACAGATCCCCGATCTTGGGCTTCTCATAGTCTGATGGAGGAAGCAGACAGAGGTACAGCTGTCACGAGCTTGTGTGACAAGCTCGTGCCTCTAGGGAAGGCATCTGATCCATCCCGGGGGGTCTGGGGAGACTTTCAGAAGAACTGCTGGAACAGTCTCATCAAAAGTACAAGAGCTTTTTGAGTGGAATCCAGGCGTAGAGAGCAGCTGGCATGCCATTTTCTGCTCCAGCCTGGCTCCCCAAGGCCTGCCACATGCTGGGCAAAGCAAGGGCCTCCTATGCTGGCTGGGGAAATGGATGTAGATCTTGCTCCCCAGAGGAATGTGTGCTTGGATAAGGGTCACTCAGACATTGTGGGAGCCCATGGGTGGGGAGGGTGAGTGAAAGAGTGACAAGAAAATGGAGGACAGGTGGATGGAGGACAGGTGGTCCAGGTCACAGAGGTGGGATCCCGTCTTGATTGAAAGTCTCGGGCCTCAGGATTCTGGAAGGATGTGAGGCCGGGGGATGCCCTCCAGTGCCAGGCTGGGGAGCTTTGACCTTGTCCTGGGGATGCTGGGGAGGAGCAGGGTCAGCTCCAGGGTCAACAGAAACATGGTCCAAGCCACGTGTATAATTTCCAGTTTTGTGTAAGCCACATTAAAACGAGTAAAAAGACAGATGAAATTTATTTTCACCATATATTTTATTTAGCCAGCAGAAATAAATGTCATAATTTCAACATTTAATCAATTTCAGATGGCTCACAAGATGTTTCACATCCTGCCTTTTTGTGCTAAGTCTTTCAAATCCCGTGTGGATTTCACACTCGTGGCACCTACCACTTTGGACCCATTACATCTCAAGTGCTCCTGAGCCACGTGTGGCTCGTGGCTCAGATATTGGACAAGGTGGGGCAGAGAGGAGATACCTGGGCTGTGAGGACAGGCAGGGAGAACAGATGGGGCTGAGAGGACTCAGGGGAAGATGGGGGAAGATGCTGAGCTCAGCTGGGATAGGGTGGATAGGAGGTGGCAGCCATGGACAGATGGACACGTGGGGCTGGGTGCATGTGGACGTTCAAGTTGCGAAGCCTCAGCCCAGTGTCCTGCTCTGCCCCGCAGGGCGCGGATGGCATCGGGGCGCCCCGAGGAGCTATGGGAGGCCGTGGTGGGGGCTGCCGAGCGCTTCCGGGCCCGGACGGGCACGGAACTGGTGCTGCTGACGGCTGCACCACCCCCGCCGCCCCGCCCAGGT